ACGAGATTGCCGTGTGCCCATCCCCCCTGGTCGGTGACTTCTTGCTTTCTGTCTCTCTGTCTCTGTCTCTGGCGAGTGCATGTGCCCTATAGCAAAAACCTCTCCCCACCCCCCCCAAAAAAAAGACCTAATACAACTGACACATGAAATAATGCCATGAAGAATTTTACAATTGTTGGGACCAGCAGTTAGCGTAATGGCTATGTCGCTGGACTCCCACGTAGTCGACCATGGTTCGCGTCCTGGACCCGGTGGCTTAAAACTCACACCGGGAGCGTGTGCGTGCATACCCAAGATCCCGAGAGGAGAATGGAAGAGAAGGGATTGCAGCGTGACCATCCCCCCTGGGGGCTGATTTCTCGCTTTCTGTCTGTCTGGGGAGCGCACGTGCCCTATAGCAAAAACCTCTCAAAAAAAAAAAAAGAATTTTACAATTGTTAAGGAAATTAAACTGGTTGTAAAACACTGTTTCTACAAAACTTGAGACCTTGATGACTACCAAGGTCTATCAAATATTTAAAGAACTAAACTCCAAGAAAAAGCTATACTATACCACTTAATGGTAAAACAATCAAATCCTTTTTATAGCAGGTCCTAGCTAGAAATGAAGTAAAGCCACCATTATTTGCAGATAACTGCATAAACCTAAAAGATTTAGCATTTATTGATATATTACTAAAGCTAACACAAGTGCAGCAAGATTGCTAAATAAAAAAATACAGAGTTGACCTGTAGTGTACAGGTTAAGCCTTGTACACTGGAGGCCAGATTCCAATTAGCTGATAACTCTTTGAATCCCAACTGGGTAGCTTGAAGAACACAACAGACACATGTACACATGTGCCAAAAATCCAGACAGAAAAATGGTGACAAGGGATTGTGCATAACTGCAACCCATGGAGGAAGTTCTCTTCCTCCCCATGGCAAACTCCTGTACCTTCTGTCAATTGAAAAAGAAAAAAATCAACTAAAAAATGAATTATACTTCTGTTTAACAGAAATAGTTATTAAGTAAAAAAAAAAAAAAAACAAGTTAAAGATACAACTTATGT